GAGCTAGAATTGACATCCGACAGAGGAGCGGTTGGAAGGCTAGAAAATGGTTCTGACAAGTTCATTTAATTTCGAAATTAAATGAACAACAGGACAGATAAGTTCATCAAGAAATTCATAAAATTTGTCCACTGACCCTGGTGGGGCAAGAAGCGCAGTCAGAAGGCAGGTTCTTGATTGGCCCATATTCTAACCAATCAAAGCGTGCCTGCGCTCTTCAGGCGGTTGCCTCGCCTTACACGCTCAACATTGATGTGGTGTTTGGTTAGGTAAGGTGGATCACCGTCCGAGAAATCTCATATTCATCAGGCGTGGATTCAAGCCTCAGCCACGACACGGAGATGTGAGCCTTCTGCCACCATAACGGCTCTCAACGGGACATAAAATTTGCCTTTGAGGTTGTCTCGCTCACTGTCTGTTGAGAACGTAAACACACACGCTAAACAATCAGTGACTAAATTCCCATTAGTGAGACTCCTTTACGACCGTTACCAGATAAACCGCATAAAGTCAACTCTCAACGTGTATCCAGCCTACAAATGATGAACCAACCTGCTGAAAACGGATGAAACCAATACCTATATATCCTGCCTCAGCTTCGTCGGGATCGCTGGAGGCTATCAGTTGCAGGGGGTAGGTATGGATTCACGGATTCACGGATTGATACACAGGATCGAGGCTTTTGCCCAAGCTTCCCTGGTCGTTTTTCTTCTTGTTGGTCAGTGGTTGTTCCTGCAAGGCACAAGTGAAAATAGTGTATAGCGCTGCTCTGTATGTTCTCAGCGCGAGGCAGTATGCTTGCCAGCTCGAGGATTCGCATAAATGAATGTCTAATGGTGCATTAAACTGAGTTCTAGAAGGAGCGTGGACAACCGTCGGAGGAAGGTCATTCCACGCAGCTACTACCCGAAATGAGAAAAGAATTTGTCTATGGAATGTGTGCGCTCGGAGCTTGAAAATGTTCTTACTATGTCCCAGCGGTGAGTTTTCTGGGGCAACGGTTAAAAACTTTATTGCCAAGCTTTGTTCAAACAAGGCGTAGGTTAGAATTAGGTCCACACGAAGGTGAGGATACTCCAGATGAAGGAGATCAAGCATCGCGTGACGGGTTTCGTGGTCCACGCATTTGAAGCCGGCAACCATTCTCGTGGCGGCTAGCTGGACACGCTCAATGAGGGTGAGGTCATTTGTGCGTTCTGAGTAGGCAACTTGACTGGCGTATTCCAGGAGCGGTCTGACAAGCCCCATAGAGTATTTGGGAGTCCGTGCGAGTTATACCGGAGAAGGAGCGCCGAATCATCCGTAGAACAGCGAATGCCTTTGGGGCCGATCTCCCAGGTTGCAATGAGAAGAACGAGTTTGAAGAGACCCAGATACACAAATACTTTTTATCGTCTATCCTCGTGATGTGTTCTGGTCTTTTCTCACCATGCATGAGATGGGCATGCACTGAGTCTCCTCCAAACGACATATTGACGCGCTTTTCGTCATTCAGAGGAAGGTTCCAGTCCAACGATTATTGCTTTGCAGCTTCTACATCCATTTGGAGGGCACTGTTATTGGAACTCCAGGATTTCAAGTCATCCAGAAAAAAGTAGACATGGACTTCTACGCATATCTGGAAGGTCGTTGTCTTAGATCAGAGACAGCACTGATCCCGGGACGGAGTCTTGAGGAACCCCAATGGAGACCAGCGCTGGAAAAGAGTAGGTTCATCCTATTCTTTTTCAGAATGATCAATCTGATAGGAACGCCTTGATCCAATGAAAGATTTTCCATTGAACCTCGTGAGGCCTTTTTTGATACTTAAGGATCGATTGATAGTTACCGGAATCTATGTCCTGGCAATGGCAGTTACATTGCAGACGGGATTGTAAGTCCTAACGGACTGACTCACAACAGTAACCTCATATGCACAGGTGGCTTCTGATTCCGCACATGCGGACACCAGGATGAGGCATGTTCTTGGTCATCAGCCTCCAAAGAAATCAATAACGAGAACACACGCCGAACATCAAGCTGTTGTTTTAGGTATGTGGCTTTCTTACAAACTCCATGCATTAAAGTTCACTACCAGTCTTGGGTTCACGCGTCAGTTAAACCAAGTGCAGTCTCAATATAGGTTTTTCCGTATCTTCTGCGGACGGTAATGTGGCTGCCACGTGTTGAGGGAGCATATGTTTGCACCGTTAGTGCGTCAGGCCGTGAGTGCCTTCAGTGTACATGGGCTTGGTTCTAAGACTAAAGAACTTAACGGGAATCGTGTGGCTGAGAAATGTGAACAGTGCAGGTTCAGAATGGACCGGAAGACATTACAACGAGAGATATAAAAGGATTTGAGTAGCTGACGCTCTTCAAACATATCCTCGCAATCGCAACACGAAAAATTGGCTCGAAAGGCATTCCCCGTTCTACGGAAGATTAAGCGAGCCTTCCCACGTATTACTGCCATGGATTTCCGGGCACTCCATTGGGTCTACGCCGGACCGATTCCTCAGTATGCCAGCGTCGTTCACACTGGCAAAACATTTCTACTTGGTATTTCATCAGGTGTTCGATGAAGTTAAACTTACCTCTGTTTGGAAGGAAGCTATTGTCATGCCAATCTACAAAACTGGCGACCTGCTATCGCTTAACAGGCACAGACCTGTTTGACACATTAGCGTGCCGTGCAACGTGAGGGAACGCCTTTTCAAGTTCCTCTTTCTAGCAGCAGCTTGGTATCTCCAGTTCAACACAGACCACTCTCAAACCGTTTTTCGCGTGGCGAAACACTCTTGTTTATGACCAGCCTAACCAGAGCCAAGGTCGAGAGGCTGATATCAGTTGTCATAACTTTCGACTTCTCAAAAGCGTTTGATCCGGTCCCACACGCCCTGCTTCTCCAAAGACTCGAGACTTATGGGATATACGGAAATTTTACACTGGGTTAATGCGTTCCTGTCACACAGATCATTCCGTGTGGAAGTAAGCTTGACCTATTTTTCCTTGACGCCGGCCTCTCTTAGAGTTCTTCAAGCCTCTTCTATGGAACCACTGCCGCCTCCGATCTACATCACCTACCCTCCAGATATCCTTGCGGGGCCAAGTTGGGAAACAAACCTATTATTATGTCTAATCTTGACGGACTACTTGAAATCCTGGAGTTCAAATGCAAAAGGATGTGGACGCTGGAAAGTGGTGGTCACTGGACTGGCAAATTCCTTTGAATAATGTAAAAAGCGTGCGCCATTCTGAGGCAACGCGGCAAACGCCCTTGTCATGTGTGTTGAGAACGGACCAGAAGAAATCATGAGGATGGGTGCCAAAAAGGAGTTGGGAATCCGGTTCTCGCCTCGTCTCAAAAACATTCACCGTTCTACGAATGAATCGACGTATCTTCTTCCGCATTATTCGCGTTGAATCCAAAACACTCTGTGGAACTTACTTCAGACCTCTTCCCGAATATGCCAGCCAAGCTGTATAGTCAGGACCCTCATGGAGCGTGTCCAGCGAGAAGCTACGAAAATGGCCACCGGTCTTAAATCCGTGGACTACGAAACGCTTTTCGTGGTTCTTGGCCACTTTCCACTCAAGTGTCATTGCCTCCGATTAAACTTAATTCTTCATTATTCCTGTTTGAAAAAGGTTTGATCAGCAGGTTTTTCATCGTTGACCAAGCTCACATAAGGCGAGGACATGGTGGGAAGGCTTTCAAGCTTGGCGCACACACCTTCATTAGGCAAAACGTTTTCCATTACGGGTAGTTGCTACGTGGAATAACTTTCCTTTCGACGGTTGTTCACGCTCCGTCTGGGACCCAGTTGAAAGCACTATCAGACTCCTTTATGCGAGCTATGGCACTGGCAGGCTTACTATTCAGCATCGAGAACTTGAAGAGTCGTGCAACACCATTTCCCCCCTGTGCCTTTTTGGTTAACGGCAGCCACTGAACGGTAAGAATAAACCCAACCCCAGAAGCTGAGTCGAAAGCATCGATCCTGCGTAACAACCCGTGAATCCGTGATTTCCAGGAACCTAAAGAACAGTATTCACGGATTCACGGATTCACTGCATTACACCCTCTTTTCGCTTCTAAATTACAGGTGTACGCATGCCAGTGAAGGACAGTGATAACTCCGGCCCAGGAAGCTAGGGGGAATCGTCGGTTCTGTGTATCGAACCGTCAATCCGTGATTGGCTCGTGCTCGGGCTAATCAGACGGTGGCGTGGTTTGGTCCGTAGCTGGTTCGGGAGACTTCCCCTCAGTCAGGTTGTGTCTGGCATGGTGTCCGTCGTTCTGGTTTGTTTTTATGTATTGTTTTTTCAGTTCACAAACCGTGCACCCAAGTGCAGTGATTCCAGATGGTACAGCTTCATTTACCCTGGACTGGCACATAGTTCGAACCCCATGTGTTCCAGTCAGTTATTGTTGTAGTATGCACGCAATGGAAGCACCAAGGGCCAGTGATTCTCCGAAATCAAGTGTTCACGACAATTTCTGTGGATGGAGAACAGAGACAGCTCATGAGCCGAAGCCCAGTAAGCAAGGTCGTACATCACCAATACTTACATATAAGTCAATCGGATTGACAGACCGTATACTACACTGGCCTCCTTCTTGAAGAACACCGTCCCCGGCGTACCATGGCTTATGTGAACCGGCCGGTGCTTGTGGTTTGGTGCGTCATCAGTGACTGATGAGGATGTGATCAATTTGGGTTCGTCGCGGACACGCTATTGGAGGATTCCATGTGGCAAGACTTCGGTCATTCTGGAAGTTACTACCGTCTGCGGCAAAAAAATGATCATTCAGCTGTATCTCCTTTCCATTGCTAGCTGCCATGCCATTCGAAGGAAGCGCGAGAACTGGAATGCTCCCAGGTAGCCCAAGGCTAATCAGGAGAAGTCGAGATGCAGAGTTAGGGTTCGAACAACGGACCTTCTGGTCAGTAAGTTCGCGCTCTAACTACGGCCGTCTCGCCCTCAGTCTGCGATCGTTCACCATCGTCCCTACTTACCGAGACCATCTTATTAAGTCTCAGTTGCACCAAACCAAGCGGACAGCGATCAACTTCCAGCTTGTTAGACTGCTTCACAGACGTTGCCAGACGAACCGCGCAGAGCCAAGTATCAACGAGTATCCAGTCATGCAAAAATCTTTCCATCCAATGAATTAGGACGATAACAACCCAGGCACATCCTGCCACAGCGGCGTTGGGATTACTAGAAGTGCGCATCCGGAAGCAAGTGGGTAGTGATAGGATAGTTGGCTCAACTACTATGTTTGCATCTTGAATTATTGTGTCTGATACACAGCTCATGTCAATGTCAAGCGAGCTCAGTGAGAGGTAAAACAGCTTGCGGTTCTGGTTGCTTTAGCACGTGAACTTTGGAAGAAGACAGATGAACTGGGCTTGGAGACTTGAAGTTTACTTTTTGACTGCCTGAGTGTACCAGCGCCTGACGACGCGCGGATGTTTGCAAGACCGGTGCAGGATGGATGGGGTCATCAGTTTTAACTCATGAGTCCACAAGGAGAAAGTTATTAGTTTGGCAGCCAGAGTTAGAAAACCCGTGTGAAAAAACAGCACAGGCTTCAGCAGTTGCTTGTTTTCGCTTACCCCCTCTGCTGTGTGCAACAAGTAAGGTGACCCGGCTGATTGCACTACGCGACGGCCTGTGTAGCATGATATTATCTGTACATGTGTAATTCACGGTTGCCCGACCTAAAGCTACCACCTTGACGTGGTGGTCGGGCTTGAGCGCTGCAGCGATCCCGTGGGCTACACTGGCTGGAACTTCGTTCCACAAGGTGCAACCATGCCAGGAAGGCCAAAG